TAATATTTATTATTCGATTTAAATGAGTTTTTATATAAATCCAAATCCATACTAATCCCAGTTGTTTTGATTATATTGGATTGTCAGAATTGGCCACCCATATTACAAAGTGTGCACAGTACGACCAACTTTTTTTTACTTTGATGATAACCGCACACTATATTGATGCGATTGATAATCTAAAGCAATAAAGCTTTTTAGATGTGAAAAAAAAAAATTAGATAGAAAAAATTGAATGTAACATTTTGGATAATGTTTTTGATACCGTTTAAATGACCGACAATTATAAAAATAGTACTATAGTTTATACCACAACGATACAAAATTACTTATTCTTTATAACACCAACTAGTATTAAAGCCCGTCACAGATTAAATTTTAAAGTAGAATAGTATATAACAATAGAAGAATGTTATAACAAGAGACATTCACAAACCATCAAATGGCATAATGAAAGACAAACGAATGGTTTAGATTTATGTTTTCCAACATAATTCAATGGGATGTATAACATTAAGAGAATGAGTAATTCTTGATCTCTTTCACATAGTTGGATACCAATGCATGTTCATCTTTCAAGACCTGTGAAAGGGGGTGCAAAGGCTGACAACATAAATCACTCCCATTATCCCATAAGAAAAGAATCTATGGGAAATTCATAAATGACTTCATTTTGAAACAGCCTCAAAACTTAGGGGAACTATTGTAAATGCCAGAGTAAGACAAAGAAAGTAGTACCTTAATTTTGTTGCTCAAATCAATATTTTTCTGCAAAATTGGAAGTAATGGTCCACCAACGGGAGAAACATCTTCATTCTCACTTTCTTCCAATATTTGAGCCAGATCAGTAATGCAACATATCAGTCAATAAAGTAATCAGAATCAAGTTTTCCCCAAATACGTTATCTGGTAAGACACATACTAAAGAAACACATTCATTTTACTTTCTGAATTTCGGATCCAAATATAATTAGAAGAAACTTGGAAGACAACAAAAAATACACTTCTACTGAAATATCAAACAAATGCTAAGAACTAATCGGATTCCCATCACACAGAAAAATCTAAAACAATTTGGAATCTGAGAAATAACGTTTGAGAAATCTACAATCTATACACCAGTGATGGTTTGC